CCAGCCCCAAACTATCCAATGTCCATCAACAGAATGGAGAAATAAACTGGGTACATTCATTCACAGAAACAAAAGAAAAAACAACTACTGCTACCTGGATCAATTTGGACATGACACTATATTGAGCAGAAGACACAAAACAGAACTTATATTTGATTTCATTTCAATGCAGTCCAAGAACACGTTAAAATTAAACATTGCCAATAAAAATCAGAAGAGCGGTTACCCCTGGAGCAGGAATTCTGGCTGTAAGGATAGCCTTCTGGGGGGCTAGTAAGGTGCTGTTTCTTGATTTGGATGCTGGTTGCTTGGGTATGATCACTTTTTGCTATACACTTCTGATCGGTGCATTTTTCTGGTTGTACGTAATTATTCAACAACAAGATCAAGAAAATTAAGCCACAGACCCCTCACCCCAAAAAAGCAATCTACTGAAACTGGAGAGCACAAGTGGTGCTACCTGTAGGAAGAAAACTAATAACATTTCATTTAGTGTTAACTAGACAGAACACCGCCTGAGAAGCTAAGTAAGAAACATCATTCATTTCCTAATTATCTTCATCTAGAATCTGCTTGATTTTTTATAGTGATTTCCTTCACATAAAACCATGGCAATAAATTATAATAAAATATTGCTTTCCCCTGTCTTCATATACCAGTAAAACACTACTGCTCAAAGTTCTATAATATATAGGCACAAAGGCAAAATTATTAGAAAACATCTACAAATATCACAGGATAATCAATTTGGAATACTGAAGTTCTACATAGTTACTTTTGGTCATAAGAATGCCAGTTATCACTTTAATGAAATGACCTGGATGATGCCCAAATCTTTACCTAGTTTCCTGCTATACAGCTCAAACGCTGATAGGGAAGGCCACGCGGGCAGGGAAAGGCATTCAAGAAAACGCTGTGCTACGGACAACGACAAGGAGCTCCAGGAAACCCTGCCTTCTCCTTTAGCCTGTAGTAGGTTTGTCTGTAAGTTTGTTTCAGCACCACATTTTTCTCCTCCTCAAGTAATACAACCAGCTGTCAGGTCAGTGATTTCTTTCCCCTTCCCAGGGTTCAATAATCCCTCTTTGATCAGTGTGGTACACTGTTTGATTACTCCATTTGATACATATAAAATGATAGTACACCAACTTGCATCAGAAGTAATTATACCACTATTTCAAATAAGACAACTGGAAGTACAGGTTGCTTGTTTTCACTCCAAACTTTATAACTTCAGCCATTACTTCTGTAGAGCTCCTTTGGGGGTGGGCATCTGTAGTGTTCCCAAATGCTGGGGGACTAATTAAATATTTGTAGAATCATTAGAGCTTAGACAAAAAATGTTTTCAGTCTTTGAAATGGGAAGTAGTCTGGGGGTGGGGGTGGGAGGGACACACAATCATAAGCATCTAGTCCCAGAACATTATTTAACACCAAACTAGTGATTCAATACACAAGCAGGCAAGATTTCCAGGATCAATACCACTTAGCAGTATTTCATGTTGTATATAGACCTGATAGGGCACCTTAATTCTAATCCTTTTTTTTTTCTCAGCTAAAAAGATCTTATTCTTTAATTCCTACTTTTAAATAGAAAGTTCTCTCCACTTTACCCTTGTTTTAAATACTCATCCTTCTAAGTTTAGATTTTCCTTGCAATTCAATGCCTAGTATTCTACTTCCTCCTTCCTCTCAAATTATCCCTTTAACTTGTTTCACTTATTTTTATAGGCCCCCAAAGCCTCTTCCTCAGGATAATGTGCAATTCAAAAAGCCCTCTCAACTACCCCCTATATCAAAGTTCAACTACAGAGGCCAACAATAACATTTTTCCCATTTGAGTTTTAGGAAAGATACAGTTTAACCAAAATTGCACCACTCATAAAATTCCTTCACTAAATCTTTCCTATTCCCCCCTCCAACACTCAATTGTTTTATACACCATCAAAATCGAATCAAACTCCCAAAATGTGTAATTATATAATCATATAAAAACTCCTAAAATATATATAATTTTAAGTGTGCAACATACACCCTTTGTAATTCTGGTGTTGGGAGTACAGGTTGAAAAAATACTGAAGTTTTCTTATAAATTGTGTGATGTTTCTTGTTGGGAGATGGGATAAGAGGATCATCATACAAGGACCAAATGCTATATCAGAAAACACACACTGTGTTCCAATAGTATTCTACTGAAGATTGCAAACACACTTAAAACATTTTCTTTAAAAGAAGAGAGTAAGAATTGGCATATTTGAAAACCAAAGCTGCTGTGCTTTACCCAAAAGGCTACACAATACTGAATACCTCCAGTTTCCCCACTTACAAAAGACATAGTCTTCTTCATCTACCAAACCAGGGGATTTATGAGATTTGTATTAATGAGTAATAGGAAAAACCCATCTCTGCATAAATGCAGAAAACTTTCTATTCTTTAAAAGACTTAAAACAATATTAAAATGACTTTAGGAAAGGCCTGTGAAATTTAGTTCTGAACCCAGAAAACCACCGAAAGGATACTGTGTGCATGCCATCTGGGATCCAGGCAGCCTCATCAACAAAAGGGAAAACTTGTTGAGATCATCCAAATCTAAAATTCACATACATTTTTACATCTGGACTGAATTAATCTTTTCTTGGTACTGGCTTTCATGTAATAAAATAATTGTTTGCAGGTTTTACTTTTTTTTTTGTAAACCCGTAGCCTTAGAAACCAAAATGTGCAATATCCAAGTTGAAAACTACAAAGAATTCCTTTATCAAAAAAGTTAGTTGTGAGACAGGACTCATTTACACTAAACTCTGAATCTGACAGCTCAGTCAAAAACAATTCTGTTTGAAACTTTCATTTCAAGCATCTGCCACAAAAGGCTACACAGTCTATTATGTCATTAGTTCTGAAAGCCAAAAGCTTTATAAGCGTAGTTACAAGTGGAAATAAAGTCCAGAAACAGAAAAGCACTAACACCCCCCTCCCCAATTCAGCTAGCCCAACTGAATGAGTTTTTAAAAGACTTGTAGCTAAAAGTTATTACCTAATACATGGGCATTTTGCTCTAAAAAGCAGTGTCTTCATCCTGGCCTGTACTGTTTTCCTAGAGAGCCAGGAGCATCTTAAATCTTCAAGTTCAAATTATGTACTTGAAGCTGGTAGCTTACCCCTGTTGTCCCCCAAAAATGAGGGGGTGAAAACAGATTTCCTGTCGCTTAAAATGTTTTGAGCACTGCAAGAGCTGCTGATTACTGTGGTCTATAAGTGTCAGATCTCAGGCATTCTTACAAGCAATTCAAGGGGAGGAAAATTAGTTCATATTACAGTCAGAGTCTGCTTTCTGGAGAAGATATCCTGCAGATAACTTGATAGTAGATATCCCCTGAGGGAGCCTTCTCATCTAATAACCCCAAAGGTTCTTTTTAATATAAATATAAATCCAATATGTTTACAAACATTCTGAAAGAGAACTCAAATGTAAGCTGTCTCATATTGTGGAGTATTTTCATTTTTAACATACTTTTATTTTTCATAACCACACCCAAGGAAAATGATTAAAAAGGTGCTTGAAGTTTTATACTACAAAGAACAACAGCAAACCCATCTGTTTTCCTGCCTCTCTTCTCGTCTTCTCCCCTCCCCCACTCTCTATCCAGCAGGCTGTTTGTAGGTCTTGGTGAATGTTAAAATTACTCTCTACAATGGTCTCAAAATGTTGTAGATCCTGAAAAACTTCTCCTTTAACATTGCTGAACCTAAATTTATACGCTGCTCTAAGAAGAAAAATCCAAAAGTCAAAAGTCTAATGACAGATGTATTACGGAAAATTTTCCCCACAAAGTTTTGATGCTGTGAAATATCAACTCCCTGAAATCACAGAAAGGAAATGACTTACATTCTTGAAAAATGAAGCCACTAGCAGCTTTCTCCAGCACTATTTTCTAATCCGTAAACTACACCCTGTGGCAACTGGGAGTATTTCGTGCAAAAACTAAATTTAAATAGATGCTTATAAACCAACAAACAAACATCGTTGGGTCCCAGAGAAGAAGAGACATAATCATACATGGAAAATCCAGCAAGAGACACTTTCTGCGCACTCAAAAACACTGGAGAGCACAGGCTTGAAGGCAAAAGCAACCCGAGAAAGCTTGCTGAAGTTTTCCTTTCCCGCTGTGGTCAATGCACAACTCCTAAGGGAAATACTAGTAAAACAGATTTTTGCTAAAAAATGAAAACGAAAAAGGTGTAAAAAAAAGCTAATGTTTCTCTGAATCCACAACTGCATGACCTGAAAATCTTCCAGCTTTCACTCCAACTTTAAAATGTGTATTTTGACAGCCTTCCATTTATTCATGCCTTTAAGAAAACGCCCTCACCATTTGGTTATGCCGTCCCGGGATTCGAGGTGCTGTTATAATCCCTGTGGACCTCACATGGATGGCCCCCAGCTGTCCATACCTGACAGTTCCTGCCCATCCTAGAGGAGAGGCTGTTGGTCTCCTCTGCCTGGGGCCGGGCCTACGCGCCGCATGCTCCTCCAGGAACCCAAATTCTGCAGGCCGCGCCCCCCACTCGCATCCCACCGAGGCCCCCTTCTGGCGCCGCCAAGCCCCAACTCAATTTCCAGCTCCCTGGACTAGGCACTTTTAGGGACGATGGGGCAGACGCTGGGCTCGGGTCCCTTCCCGCATCCTGGCTCCCCGGCCCCAAGGCGCGCACAACAGGCGGCAGGCACGGCACCCAGGAATGCAGGGCTCATGGGCTGGCCCCGGCGCCCCGTCACAACTACGGGGCGCGACGGACGGGCACCCCCAGAACAGTTCGCCGGGGATCACCGGAGAACCAAACGTAGCGCTCCGAGCCCGAAGGCGCAGCCCTCAACCCCGGCCGGCCTCCCGCCCTCGCAACACAGGCGGCCCCGGAGCTCCGCGCCTCCCCCGCTGCCCTGTCCTCCCACCCCAGCGTGGGCGAACTCTGACTCGCAGAGGGCGACCTACCCGCCCGGTGCCCGGTGCCCGGCGCCCAGCACCGAGGGAGCGAGGAGAAGGCGAAGAAAGACGCGGAGAAGGAGTCACAGATTTCGCTGGAGCTTGCGACTTTCCCGAAACCCTCCCAAAGCCCCGTCCAGCCGCCGCCGCCGCCGCCGCCGCCTGGCCGGCAGGGGGCACAGCGGGCGGCCGGGACGCGGTGGCCGGGATATGGGTAGGGTTGGGAGGCCCCCAGACGCCGGGCTCTTGCTCGTACCTCGGAGAAAAGTGCGGAACACTAGGCGCTGGAGTCACATCAGCTCTCTGCCCCTTCCTGTCGGCGCCGCGCCTGCCCCGCTCCACTCAGCCCCTCGGCCTGGGCAGCCAGAGGAGCGCTCCGCGTCGGCCCCG